TTTCTATATATATCACTTACTGTCATTCTAAATCTTGGTAGTGGAACTCACAATAAAGTTATCATAAATATATTATGTTAAAGATTTATGATGGACAAACTGTATAAAAATGTTTGTTAGGAACTTAGAATGTGATGAGTTGCATAAAGATATTAAGGATTTATTATGAGTTTATCCATGCATAAAAGATATTTTTAATAGGGATATTTTTAACTAAAAACTAAACTCGAGAAACTCGAGGATGAATTCCTTTCAAATCAAAAAACTGATGCATATTTTTTTTTTAAGATAGATATTTTTTATAAAATTTTTATTATGATTCTTTCTATTTTTTTCTATTTGAAGGAAATATTTCTTTTAGTTAATTTTTTTTTTATTTAGTACTATTAGGGCTTTCTATTTTTTTTTTATATATAAGAAGTTATAATAGCTTTCTGGCATGCAAAGAAATAAATAAACAAAATTAAGTCTTCCTATACTAATAGTATTTTTGATCTTTAATGATTTCAACTTATAACAAATTTCTTTTATCCTTTATTGCGTTTGCGTTAGTTTTGTTGTTCGTTATGTTCTACCTTTTATCCCATTTTCATAAAGTTAATTTCCATGATTGTATTTTATATTAATGAATTTTGTTACTTAAGGAAAAAAAAAATCCCATGCATGATTTTTGTGTTTGCAAGTAATGGATTATAAGAGCTATCTGTCTTGCCGAGAACGCCTCCTTTTCTAACATTTTGTTTTTGTACAAAGGAATGGATTATAATTCAATTGAAAAAAAAAATGTTCACTTCGTTGTTTCTTTACAGCATTTGATAAATAAAAAAGCTTTCTTTTTTACCTTGTATCATCACTGAATTCAAGCTCATTAATCTATCAACTGCTACAAGACGGCGACGTGCTGTTTCGGACCTGCAAGTTATTTTAGAAATGAGTTCTATACGTATTATTTTGCTGGATTATCTATGACTGTACTATCCTGAACCTTCAGAGACTTGTGAGAGAATACTCCATGCACATGTCGAAAGAACTAAATTTACCTTGGATGAATGTCTAGCTATCATGAAAGCTGTTGTTTCCTGTTATCTCCCACAGGATTGCTTTTATCGATGGAGATCTGCGGTGAATTTGGTTGTTCTTGATCGGCAGGGAATAAAAAGGGGTCAAATGCAGGTTTTTCTTCTCCCTTTTTCTTCAAATTATCATCAAGACTACCGTAATCCAGATTCTGCAAGATACTAGGGAGATGCATGGCTCCATCCTTGCCAAATTTACCTCCCATTTCTATGTCGAATTTCCCTTTCCCGACGAAGTTTCCATTTATGTCCGAACCACCCATTATGGAAGCATCATCTTCTGTCACCCATTCTCGGAAATTGATTGCTGAAACTGGGATCTTCGAGAAGAATACTTGTTTAAAGTTCTTTATGATCCCTCTGTTGAAGGGGTTTTCCTTCTTATCATAGCGGTACCGGAAATTTTCGTAAGTGGTCTGTGATGAATGAGAGGGGAAAATATTAGATGCAACAGTGGAAAACAAGGAAAAGATTCTAGCTAGAGGCAAGTTACAACATATGGTAAAGGGCCAAAACAGAAGTCAAATGCTGCGAAAGTATGTGCACTGCAAGGGAAAATGACTGAATTGCTTTTTGTTAATTATATCGAAAAGAAAGTGGCAGCACGAAGTATTAATTCCTGTTAATCATTTGTAAATGCCATACCTGGTTGGTGCTAATCAGGTAGACGTGGAAAAGCGTTAGCCCACCAACAAACCAGAATGCTATGAAGCAGTATGCAATCAGAACAACAGAGAGAACGTCATTCGACATAGCACTCCACAAAGTTCCATGTTGCCGGAGAACATTAAACCAAGAAAATGCAAACACATATATGCACAAAGTGGTTGATGAGGTTATAAAGCCTATGAAATATGGATAGTTGCGCTGCAAGCGGATCAACACAGAAGAAGCTGATTAGAGTCTGTCAAAAAACAGCTACTAAAGCAGGAGAAGCAACTTTCAGCTTTGATTTCATTCTTGCATTCAAAACACGAGCCGGAAAGATGGTTGATTGTTGATAATCCACGTTAAAAAATCCGTGCAGATGTTATCAGAAACGTCCATAGATTTCAGTTTGCATGGAACTTTCAAAATCTCAAAGAATCTTGAAATCCTAAAGAGTTCCAAGAAGCAACTTACCAGTCCAATGCACTGACCCACCCATGGACAATGATGATCAAACTTCTGAATACAATTGTTGCAGATGGAGCAATGTGAAGCTCGTGGCGGACGATATAACAGACAAGTGTCGCAGAACTTCACTTTAATACTGTGGCCATTAACAACTAGATCCTTCGTACGAGGCAATTTCAAGCCTGTAATTTTGTTATTAACCCACTCCATAGATTGGGAAGGGATGCCAACCGATTCATCTGATTCAGGTGGCTGACAGTTCCTAGGGATTATTCCTGGATCTCTACCTGATGTCATGAAGAGAAATACGAAGTCCTGCATGACATTTTAATTAAACTCAGAAATCATTTTCTGAACAAGACCAGTCATTACGAACAAACTTCACTTTACCAACCATAATAGCGAGGACCAATCCCCCAACTAGAACTGGAATGTCGTAGCAAGGATCATCTTTTCTGACTAGCAGCAGCAGCATCTTTATGCAGAATGCTGTTGCAGGACCTCCAATTAAAAATGTTGTCAAAAATAGAGATCCTGCATCAGGACCAAAGACTGCTCTCCCACCACAGAGGAATTTCTGATATTAGAACAGGAAGTTTTGTTAGTCCTGGTCTAGAAAATAAAACAATCTGTAACAACAATTTTCTCATCACATCCATCTCCAACAACTGCAAAATACTCATCAATTTCGATAATGAGCCGACAAAACTCATTTTCGAGCACATTTACCAGTTAGAAATCCAGGACTTTTTTCCTCTGATTAACTAAAGTCTTACTGATAATCACGGCTGACATTTTCTGTCAGGCAAAACGGGAAAAGGCAGAAAACGATGCGGATTTCTTCACATTCCTTCATTTATATATTCAAAGGCAAAGAAACATTGGATTAACGCAAGGAAATTGATTAGGTCCCCTTCAAGAATCATTAATAATCAAATAAATGGCAAAAATAAAATGATGCAAACACCCAATCATCACAATTTCTTGAATTCATAAGAAATAAATCAAGCAATTCATAATAGATAAAGAATGAGGACATGCAGAAGGCGGGAAAAGAGGACTGATTACATTGTTACCCTTCCAAAGTTGATAGAGCCTCTTGGATTGTGGTGTGGGAGAAGGGTCCCTTGCTGCTGCCATGCTATAGGAAGATTTTCAACTCTTGCGTTTGTTCGTCTTCTATTGACAAATATTATGCAACAAAACCTCCTTGAAAATCAAACCCAAATGAAACCAAACCAAATCAAAACAAAATTTCTTTTTGAAAGAAAATGTTTTGGTTTGGAAAGAAATCGAAAGACAAGTGGGTATTTTTTCTTTCACGCATTCTTCTCTCTACGAGACAAAAATGATACCTACCTGTCCTTGATCACAGACACCAATCCTCTAACTAATATCTGTCTCTCTCTCTCTCTCTCTCTCACACACACACACAACCTTTGCTGTCAGCTTTTCCTACCAAGCAACGATTTCCAACGGATTTTTCGCGGGTGCTGAAGTGGTTAAAGTAAGCTGCAATTTTAGAAAGAAGCCCCTAGTGTTTTTGTTATTTTAAGATTGTCTCTTTTCAAAGTACGAAATTTTTAACCTTGGTTATTAAACGAATTAGCTCGAACCAATCTTCTTTTTGTCGATAAAAAATTCAGAATAGTGTTTAACTAATTAGTCTACTTAAAATACCATGAAATTTTACATACACGATATATCCTTTAACTATCGTTATCTAAAACAAAAACCAAATTGATTATAGTTAATTAAGTGACAACCTCAATCACTCTTCTTGCCAGGTCGTTTTCAGGAAAGTGAGGGGACATGTAGATGTCTAAACTCTAAAGAAAGAAATTGGCTTCCACTATCATTATTTCTTCCACGAAATGAAACTGCACTCAGAAATCAGAATAATTAACCATATCATGTCTGTATTTGTACCGCGTTTCAGCTTATTTTAAATTATTTTTTATATTTTTAAATTGTTTTGACATATTATATTAAAAATAATTTTTTTTTAAAATAAAAAAATATTATTTTAATACATTTTCAAACAAAAAACACTTCCAAAAATTTACTCAATCCCACTTCCAAAAATTTACTCAATCCCCCTCTCTGTTGTTTGTTCCTCAAAATTCCCCAAAAAGCTGCACAAATTTAAAAATATCATCTTAATATAAAATAAGCCTTTTCTCAAACATTTTTTTTTTTATGGGAAATGATGCTTTTGAATGAAAAATAGAGGTTTCACTGCGGATGCAACCAGCACTTGAATCCAAGCTAGAGAGCATTCATCCACTTACTAGCAGGATGGTTTCAAGAATTTTGATGCTTACCATATTATGCTTTTGATATTTGTCTTTGTTGAAGGAGATTGCGGGCATGTAGATTTTTTTAGTTTTTAGTTTCAACCGAATATTTTAATGCTACTAAAATCAGTGATTAAAGGATGTTTTCTAACACATCTATTGACAATTAGCATGAAATAGGAAGAACCTTAAAACAGTCACAAATTCCCTTCTATCACTGTAATATACAATGAATGATTTACTAATGTTTTTTTGCCTCTGATGAAATTATTATTTTATTGACAAAATCGTCATTGAAACAAAACTACCACATTCTGATAGGTGGAACTGCAGATGCGGATCTCTTCCTTGCACCTACTTCGGTTGCACAAGTGGCTTTCCTGCAACAGACACCAAACCGCGCTGAAGACGCAAAAAGGGTGGCATCTTCGAACAGCCTTCCTTCAAAACCTAAGCTTCAGTTCATATTCAACTACAAAATCACCCTTTTTCTTTTCCAAACAGAAATGGATGCAACCAAGAGCATATCAAATGATGTTAACAGAAAAATTGAGTGCAACTAGGATACCTTCTTGGCACCCCACTCTATTATTGAATACAAGGAGCACACTGGATAAAACAGGCGAGGACTACTTTAATCTAGGAACATTACGCAGAGGGATAACAGCTAAAGTAAGTTACAAGTCTGCATCCTATTGTTTCATGTTACAGCAACACAAGTTTAGTACAACAAAAGAAAACCTTTCACGGGCCTGTCTGCTCCAGTCATGGAAGATATATTTGGTCTTCATTCATGCACAGAGCAGAAACCATACAACAACAACAGCTGGTGAAGAGACAGGCCTTTGCTGAGACATCCTGAAGCTTTTTCTTGCCATGGACTGCAAAATAGCTGATGGTGGAAAAGTGAATACGAAAATGCTGAGAATTCAGTTTTGAAAGGTAAATACGGCCAACCAAAATGCATATGTACATAAAAAAGAACACGTTCAAGCATAGGGGCGGCAATACAATCCAGATGAATTATGAAATGTTTTAATTGCATCTACTATCAAACCGGAGTTGTGTGATCCGGTATCCAATCTTCTCCAATCATGAATCTATAAATAAGAGGTCTGGTAAAAATCTAGGAAAACCAAAATCTTAAGATATCTTTTACTATGAATGACAGTAAATCTGCATGATTTGCTTATGATGTTTATCACCCATCACAAGATGAAGCTAGTGCTCTCCCTTCTTGCAAACAAATACATGCAACGAGAGGATCATTAAAAGAATCCTCCCTGGATGGCCTTGTGGAGACCTGCTTCAGACATCTTCAGGAGTGAAAAAAATGAGTAGTTTAAGTATAGTCACACAAATGAACTTACAGCTCTACTAGCCACTTTCCCGTATTACAACATTGCTTTATGGGATATTTTGAAAGAATCTTACCAAAAGAAATCCAAACAAGGTCTAACAATCAAGTGCATATTTAAAAAAAATGCATGATCTCTGAAGGGCGAAGCATCCAGGTTGGAAAACATGTTACAGGTATGTAATATAACTGTCTGCAAGATGAATGAAAAAACAAATCATGAAAATTAGGTGTGCTTGGGATGAACAGTCATCTTTATTTTGTAAACAATTTAAAAATCAGCCACATTCTAGCACTTCGTTATGCACTGATCCAGTAAATTTATAAGCATTTGGAAAAAAACAAAGAAAATGTACACATTTGTCCCTGAGAGAGCAAAAACTGAGTTAACAAATTGCAATACAAACCTTCTTCCAGAAACATGAGTTAGCAAGGCCATCCTTATCCAAATACTCCAGTAAATGGACTATCAATAGAAAAAACCTCTGCACTTTGGTGATCCACATAAGCATTTTCTCTTCCCACAATCTGCTTTTTCAGGAAGTACCATCCCATAACAATATGTCAACTCTGTCATAGGAGGAATGTGTCTGATGGCATAAAACGCGATATGGAGATCAAACTCCTTGCAATTTCCACGTAAAACTGGCTGCCAGAACAGATTTGGAGAGCAACTGTGATTTATAAAACGAGCTACATTCCCAGCATTTCTGGCATTTATTATAAGAGGAAATGGGAGGTTTGGAGCATTATTGGAATCACCAGGCAAAATTTCAACTGGCTGGTAAGTGCGGGAACCATCAAAGATGTGATCATCTTTATTTTCACCTGCAAGCTCTTGTGCAGGATCATCAACAACTTCTCCTGCATATACACATATAAAAGCTCCAGCTCGTATAGGATCCCAGGATCTTAAACCCCAACCTTTGTTCTTAGTCTTAAACACCTCCAAACGAACTCTCAAACCACCCTGAGACACACGATTACGGCAAGTTGGAAGGCACTGACAGGATGGACCACACTCATATATCACAGATTTTTGGTTCACAATAACCCCATTCACAATGTGAGGAAGATAGCCTCCATTTTTCTGAATACAATCACATTTCTCGTTTCCAGGGAGACATGCACCATTGCAAGCACAGCCAACAAAAGGATCCCTTGGTGCAGGTTTTGAATACTTGAGGTGTGGAGAATAAGTGAAATAGGCAGGCCCCTTTTCATTGTCAACATCATTCACAAGAGAAACAGGAAAAGTTTCACACCCTGAAGTAAGATCAGGCAGTATAATCCCAAACCTAGTAATAGTACCATCCTTCCATTGCTGAATTTTTTTCCATGTTTTGTATGCCTCAGGCTGGCCAGGTAACCTACCCAACTTATACCTAAAAACATTGGAACCAGACTTTCCTTTCTCTAACCATGACTCTTGGATTCTATATAAACCATCATACATATATACCTTTCCAGTTGGATTTCCCACATCCTTTATACCCCTGATTACTCTAATGTCATTACCACGGTGCAAGCTCTTCTCCAGCGCAAGGTTACCCCTTTCAAGCTTTTGATCCATTTCCTTACCTTGGCCTGTGTAAATCAAACCATCATCACCGTCAACATCATCTTCATATCCTCCAGATGAAACAATGCTAACAGCTATTGGTTCTTCATCTTGACTGATCCTGAAAGACATGTAATCTATTCCAGCCATACTTGGAGCATGGAGTCCAATTGTGCACAATTCCATTCTAAAAAAGAAAATATCACCAATTTCAACACCAGGTACAGCTCCAACTCTCTTCTTGGCATTCGTCCGAATTCCTTTGGTCATCAAAACATTACCTGTTTTCAAGTCAGGGCGCCTTGATTGCCCTGATGTGGCTTCCTTTGTATCTTCAAGCTGTGCTATTTGTCTTCGGAGCAAATTGAAAACCAGGAGTACATATCCTACAGAATCTTTATCGCCATCATATAGTCGTGCTGCTTCAAATTGCACAAGGTTATAGGACTGGAAAATATTTTCTACCATCACGTCTGTGTCAACATCAGGAGAAGCAAATTTATCATGGCTGCCTTTTTTCTTCTTCTGATATCTACCCTGCGAACTCGGCGTTTGGTCATCGCTATACCCATCTTCTTCCACACCCCTATTGTTTCTATTAGCCCTCCCTGATGACCCGGCATTTCCATTTGCAGCACATCCAAGGGGCTCAGGTGACCGAAACGAATTGATAGGAACTGCTGATGATATTGCGGTGTGGTCACCGGAAGATTGATTAGGTATACCAGAAAATGGAAAGAACGGGAAAACTCCAGGTGGGAAAGGACCAGCTGGGGGAACACAAACAAAAGGGACAGAACTTTGAGAAAAAGAACTGGATTTTGATGGTGAAGAGAATACTGGAGTAAGAGTCCGCAAGGGCTTTACATTCAAAACCCTGGACTTATCCTTTGGGCCTTCGCCTGCTGATTCTTCCATTATTATTACTTCTGAATAAACAAAATCACAGTTTTAGCTAACAAAACCTCCTTCTATCACCAGTCTCTCACATTTGACTTCTCTTGTTCCATTTCATACACTTCCTAGACAATAGCAAGAAATTGTTCTAAAATCTGATGACATTACTTAAGATACAAAGAGAACAGCACCTTTATTGCAGAATGAAACTGAAAACGTTTCTAAGACACAAACTCCCAAACCACAAAATTGCAAGATCTTCACAGAAATGTTTCAAAAGTTGCTAAATTTTTATACTCCTCCTACATGCAAGCACATGCATCAAACCAAAGGTAACCAAAACAATTACCAATTCACTAAAAACCCTAAAACAAAAAAAGAGCACTACTTGGCATTCAAAAAACTGCGAACACGAACAGACTTACACATAACTAGTCTCAAAACATCACAGAAACATAAAACTGAAAATGACCCAGTTTTCCGTTTTCCAGATATTAACCAAGAACAGATCAAGTTCAAATCTTTAACTTAAAGACTTTGAAAATGAAATCACTAGACAAAGCAGGTTTTAGTCCTTTGAAGACAAAAATTAAATAGAAAAGGAAATTCTTTATTAGCAGATCATAAACAATAAGACAGGAAATAAAGAATCTTAGATGGTAAAAAGAGAATCTAAGCGAATAATATCATTACCTGAGTTCTTCGGTATTGCTGTTTTGAATGAACATCAGTTGAATTTCTTACAAGGACCACAAACAGAACCCAAAAGAACCCTAGAGTGTGGACCTTTAATCTTGATTTTTCTTCCATTATTAGTTCTTGTCTCTTTGGTCTGAAATTCAAAATCCAATAAATTAGCTTTTCGTACTATCTGATTGTACTGGCTTGGTGAGAGGAACTCATAATGGCTTTTCAACCACTAAACCTTGTAGCCCTGTCTAGTCTTTAACCTTACAGTACAGGGCGTGACAGCAAAATCTGCAGCCCACACACTCCATTTATGAACCAGTTTGCTATTGATTCTGATTACTTTTGTTAATTTTTCCTGTGATTATTTATTTGTGGGTAAAAATATATTTTTCAAGTGTTTAGAGTGTGTCTTCTATCAGTATAAAAATGGCATTTTGTGTTAAAGTGAAGAGGGTTAAAGTTTACTTTCTAAAATGTAATAAATAAAAGTTTCTGTAATGTTTTATTCTTTTTAACAGTTTTAAGAAATAATGATCATAATTATTATTATTTTAAGAAAAATCAGCTAATATTTTAGAAGGGTATTAGTTACATGACTCAAGTTTCGCCATTAGTCATATATTTTTTTTATTAAAAAATTAAATATATAAATTTTTTGGTATAAATAAATTCAAATTATAAATCAAAATATTTATATACATATCTAATTAAATAAATTGATATTTGATGAATGAAAAGTTATAATACAAATATTTAATATGATAATATAAATCATGTATTTAGTTATGTTTAGTATAATTTTTTTTATGGTAAAAGTTTTATGATTGTTCACATCAATAAAAGATATAAAAATTATTGATAAAAATAAATTGAATAAAATTATAAAATTTAATTATTAAATAATTTAATATTACACAACAAAACTAATAAAAAAATAATTTTAAAAAATAAAAAATATAAATTAATCTTGATTAACTTGTTAACCCTATAATCACGAGCATGAGATTATGATAAACCTTTATTGAGAGAAGTAAAAAATAAAATGCACAAAGATTAATTTCTAAAAAAATATATATTAAATGATAAAATTAAAAAAAATCAACTCATATTATTATTCAAAATTTATAATTATGGTAATGAGATTGATACCAAACATATAAAAGACAAGCTCAAAAAACAAAGAAGCAAAACTTGTAATAATAAAATACTAAGTCATGAAACTATAAAATTATTTAAAAAACAATAAAAAAAATCTAAACCAACCTAGAATTGAGAAAATCCCACTAAAAAAAAGTGAAAAAAATGTGGTGAACAATTAAAAATAGTTAATTGGTTAAATTAAAAATAAATTAATTTTATAAATGGACTTTAAAAATTAAAATTAACCATTGTTAGTTTTTAAAATTATGATCATGAAGTCGATCTAGCCTTATAAGAAGAATAAAAAAATAATGAAGAAGATTTTTTTTTTAAATCAAAGGATTAAAATGAGGAAAAATGAAATAAAAAAAGCACATTAAAATATTTTTAACTTTCAATTATTTATTTATTTTTCTTAACTTAATCTGCCAGGATCTCCTCTCAGCTGATGATGGTATTAATAGCAGGCGCCTAGAAAGGGTCAGCATCATGAAGATCATATTGGATGTAATAAATGACCTCATTTGGATAAGTTCTATCCAGCATCCGTAGATATGAAAGCGACAGGCAAAGTCTATTTGTCTGTAATATTTTTTAAAATTATTTTTTATTAAAATATTTAAAACATTAAAAATAAAAAAATTATTTTTTTTAATAAAAAACGATGCTGCAGGAGCAACAGTTGCCACCTCAATGGCACACGCAACAAGTTTTGTCTTTCTGGAAATCTAACTCCCATGATTGACAAGAATCAATATCAGCTCTGGATAACAACACCCAGTTAATATTATTTTAGGGTTTGTAGGGATGATTTCATGGTTGCACTCAGAGCCCAACAATTGGCCTTTTCATTCACTGCCAGTAAAGAAAAACATTTCTAGATATCTTCACAGTTATGACTCAAGAAACTGTGTTTTAAGCTCTCCTAGAGGACTTAAATTGCATAAAGCTTAAATATAAATAGGCGTAGTTACTGTAGAGAGAAAAAGAATATACTAAACTAAGCACAGAGGATAGATAGTCTATTAATTCTTAGCATTCATGAGGATAAGAGTTGCTTACACGGCTAGCATTTATAGTCGTTTCTAAGAAGTCCAAATTTTTTAAAGAAAGAAAGGGATAATGTCCCCATTGATGACCCAAAAACACACTCAGCAAGCACAATTTTTTCGTTATTTTATTTGTGCTTTGGACACACCTTGCATGGATATTTGTAATTTAATCAATGTCTATATGGATAAGGGTTGAATTGGAGCAGCCCCATGGTCTTGTCTATTAGCATTCATGGTGTAGAGTTCAAAATTCACATGGATCATTTAAGAGGATGATTCAAAGAAATTCACATGTATTAAAAAAAAGAATAAAAAGTAATAAGGCATTGTAAATTTGGTTAAATTTAAAGGGAAAATAAATAGTGGAATTTCCTTCATTAATAAACTGATTCTAAATATATTATTTTTACTTCAAAACAGGTGGGATAACCGTGATCTGTAGCTTGCACGCGCTGTAAAGACAAGAAGGGAGTAATTTATATCCTTGCAGTCCACTGCCAAATGTCTGACGTGAAAGAAAGGCGCTAAGGCAAAAAGAACAAGCGTCAGATGCCCGCCTATCTCTTATTTATAAGCACAAACAAACGACTCCTTAGCTAATCTTAAAAATTATTACCGGTCAACACTTCCACTCATTTGCAGGTACCTTCAAAGAACCCAAGGCAGAATTTGTCTTTTTGACCCTTCGTTTCAGGTAAAGTTATCATCTTTAATCCTTATTTGTTCAGAATTCAATGCTTTCACTTGGTGGGTTGGTTCTAATGTTTGTGAATGTTATGTTTGTATTGAATCTTGATCATGTTTTGCTGTCAAGTTCAAAATTCATCGTGTTTTGGAGTAAAGGTCAAAACTTTGATCATCTTTGATCCTTATTTGTTCAGAATTCAATACTTTCACTTGGTGGGTTGGTTCTAATGTTTGTGTATGACATGTTTGTATTGAATTTTGAACATGTTTTGCTGTAAAGTTAAATTTTTTTTTCTTGTTTTGGAGTAAAGGTCAAAACTTTGATCATGGGAATTCAAGATAGTTGGAAGTATAATGGCTGGAGTCTGAATTCTTAGAGCTTGACCTTAGTTTTTGCTGTTATCTTTTTTGGCGAGTCAGTCCAAAATTATGATGACAGTGGTCCATGTGAATCATGATGGGGTTACCTTCTTAAGGTAGAAGATGGTGTCAGGTGACATGTTATCTGACAGGCTGACCTTGCTGCTTTCTTTATTTGATTCTTATCCATAGTTTTTTGCGCTAACAGAAGAGAATGAGAATGGATCAGTTTCTCTTAGATATTGTGACAGATTATGGAGCTGTTCCTTTTTGGGTTCTGATTGATCATAAAATGTAACTGAATTTGTTATATATTGTTGTTATATCAGGGTGTGGCAATATTGGACGTAGTGAGTGAAGGAGTGAGAAGATGGGTTATTGGAAGGCCTCCTGCAGTGTTCTTCTGGTCTGCCTCTTTGTTGGTCTTTGTTCCGTGTATCAATGCTCTGCTGCTGAAGTTGATGCATATCAGACAGCAAAATTGATCGTTAATGCCTCCAGTGGTCGGCCTATTCCTGAAACACTCTTTGGAATTTTCTTCGAGGTTAGTTTATTCGCTTTCAAGTTATGATTTGATTTGTGTCTAGTTAGTTTATGGTCTGTTTAAACTACAATGCATAAATAAGGATGTTGAGTAAGGATAGCGAGCATTATCTGAAATGGTTTTTTCTGCAGGAGATAAACCATGCCGGAGCTGGTGGGATATGGGCAGAGCTTGTAAGCAATCGGGGTAATTTTCAAATATATTAATTTCTGCAAGTGAAAGGAAGAATGAAGAAAGTAAGGGAAGTTTCAAATAGTGCAGGAGGCCGATTGCAGTCAAAACTAACTTCCAGTTCCAAGATTTCAGGATTTATAATTTTTTTCCTAGTTATTCAGTGCTTAGTTCTTAATTTTATCAAACAGTGCCTTGATAAAAAGATCTGAACTTTTTTGTGTGAGCTATGATTTTGGAGTTAATCGCTACTTTGATTATTAAACCATTCAAGCCTTTCTACATTTATCTGGGTATTTTGGATTTGGGACTCACATGTATCTCTTTGATTTGTTTCCTTTGTTTCCCAGGTTTTGAAGCTGGGGGCCAAAATACTCCCTCAAATATTGCTCCCTGGTCTATAATTGGTGATCAGTCATCTTTAACTGTATCTACTGATCGTTCTTCTTGCTTTGAGCGCAATAAGGTTGCACTCCGAATGCATGTGCTCTGTGACAGCGAGGGCAGTAATATTTGCCCAGTTGGCGGAGTTGGAATATATAATCCAGGGTTTTGGGGCATGGTGAGAACTAGTCGACACTAGATGTGATAATTTATTTTGCATGCATTTATGGAAGACAAAAAAGCTGGAAATCAGACCCTTTTGTCTTTGACTTCTGTTTCCTTCAGAATATTGAACAAGGGAAGATCTACAAAGTAGTTCTTTATGTTCGTTCTCTTGGATCAATCAATGTATCTGTATCATTGACGAGCTCAGATGGGCTGCAGATATTGGCAACTGCTAACATTGTGTGAGCACCACTTGAATGTATTTGCAATGAATGGTTTCTCTTTGACCAGGAGTTTGTGTTTTTCATGCTTTCCTTTTTTGCAGAGATTCTGATGTTTCAAACTGGACAAAGACCGAGGTTCTATTGGAAGCCAAGGGAACAAATCCTAATTCAAGGCTTCAGTTGACGACATCCAGGAAAGGTGTAATATGGTTTGATCAAGTGTCAGCTATGCCTTTGGACACATACAAGGTATTCTTATTCATCAGCACTTCTCACTGAAAAGAACAAATCTTTCTCCATGCAGTTTGGGAAAGTTCAAGCCACTTAGCAATGTAGAAGATAATATATTTATAGAGGGTGAAAGTTGAACATCATAATTTCAGGTTACAGGTAGACAGGATTTAAGATTTGGTTATTTATGGAGGTTGTGGAGATAAAAATCTGAATTTCTTGGTTTGCTAGAGTGTGAACTCTTTTCTTACAGAGATTTTATGCCTGGTACATGGATTCCATTTGTGTCTAAAGTATTTGTACCACCTCTGTTTTGCCACAGGGGCATGGTTTCCAAAAGGAGCTCATTGAAATGCTTGAAGATATAAAACCCCAATTTATC